AACGGTCCAGGGAGAGGTAACATTTCTGCACATGATTGACTGTGCTACACGATATTCAGTTGCATTGTTGGTTCCAAATAAACGAAAAGAGACAATTGTAGAGGCAATCTGTTCTGGGTGGATAGCACAGTTCTGGCCTCCCCGCCGTTTTATGGCCGATAATGGAGGGGAGTTTTCTAATGCAGAATATGTAGAAATGTGTGAGAGATTCAATATCGAATCACAACAATCGGCAGCTGAAAGTCCTTTTAGCAATGGTATGGTTGAACGCCATCATCAAGTTCTAGCTGAAAGTATGATAAAGACAAAGCAAGATTCGAATTGTTCGTGGAAAACAGCTTTGAGCTGGGCACTTAGTGCTAAAAACTCTTTACAAATGACGGGTGGGTATTCACCCATGCAGTTGGTTATGGGTAGAAATCCATCTTTCCCCAATGTGATAGACAGTAAGCTTCCTGCAATGGAATCGAGTAGTAGTGTCTGTAGTGAAACTGTAGAGAATCATCTAAGAGCAATGAGGATTGCCAGAGAGGGGTTTATAAGAGCAGAGAATAGTTCCAAGATCATGAGAGCTTTGAAAAGCCAGGTCAGAACATGTAATGATGTTCATCTCGATCCAGGGGAAAAGATTTTCTATAAAAGAAACAACAGTGACTCCTGGCATGGACCAGGTGTTGTCATAGGTCGGGATGGTCAGACGTTTGTTGTAAAGCATGGATTTCAAATCATCAAGGTACATCCTTGTCACATTAAGCCAACATATGTCCCTGAATTAGAAGAAACTGGTAATTTGAAGGACAAAAGTGATCCCGTCAGTGTCAAAGCTCCTTCAGAATCGAACGATGATGAATTATCTGACTTTGAGAAAAATATGACAAGAACAGAAGAAAGAAATCAGGATGAAAATGACAGTTTGCCATTGGCTCAGGCGCAAATAACTGATGAAATAGATACTCCTTCTATTGCTCCTGTAAGCACAGCCAGTGTTAATGGTAATGGAAATAAAAACCTGCCTAAGACGAAAACTTCTGTGATGTACAAACCCGAGTACCCTGAAGAGGGAGAAGAGGATGTCTGGGAGAAGGCTTACATCCTTAGTAGAGCAGGTAAGGCTGGAGGAAAATACAAAAACTGCCTGAACATTCAGCTTGATGGGGAGGAAGAAACTCATTGTGTCGACTGGTTTGAGTTAACAGAGGAATGGCACGAAGATACAGAAGAGGAGCAGGAACATAAAGTTATGTTTACAAGCGTTACAGATTCATGTGAACAAGCAATTGTTGATGCTAAGGAGGCAGAGCTTGAAAAGTTTTGTACCAATAAAGTCTATGAGGAAGTTCCTGATGAAGGTCAGAAAACGATTGGTGTGAGGTGGGTAATCACAAAGAAGATAAAGAATACCACGAATGTGTACAAGGCACGGTTAGTTGCTCTAGGCTATCAGGAGAAAAATCAAGCAATACGATCAGATTCCCCAACATGCAGTAGGGACTCAATCAGATTGGCAATTACTCTTTTGCAAGCAGAGCATTGGAAACTGCAGCACATTGATGTACAGGCTGCTTTTCTACAGGGAAAAGATATCTCAAGAACAGTATACATTAAACCACCAAATGAAGCTAAGGTATCTGGAAAATTGTGGAAACTCCTCAAATGCATCTATGGCTTGGTCGATGGTCCAAGAATGTGGTATGTCGAACTAAGAGATACCCTAGTAGAGCTTGGTGTAACAGTGTCAGTGTACGATGAATCATTTTTCTTTTTACAGAGAAATGATAAGCCGTGTGGGATCATAGTGATCCATGTTGATGATCTTATGTTTGGAGGACTGGAAATATTCATCAAAGAGGTCATTGGTGCCTTAAAAATGAAATACAAGCTCAGTATGGAAGTCGATACATCCTTTACGTACACTGGGCTCGATCTCAGTCAAAGTTACAGGGCAATCAAAATATCACAGCTGGGTTATGTAAATCAAGTGAGCAGAATCAAAATCGACCAGAACAAAGTAAAACTGAATGCATGTCCAATCAATGAGGCAGAAAGAAGTCAGTTGCGATCAGTAGCAGGACAGCTGCTCTGGGCAGCAACACAGTCACGACCAGATATTGCGTATGGCACATGCATTGCATCCAACTCCTATGCTTCGGGAACACAGTGGGCTGTGAGTGGGGGTCATGCTAGCATAGGGTATTTTAGACCACCACACATGCCCCTAACTTTGTTTCTAAGGTAATTTGGGTACAAAAATACGATTCCAATCATTTACAGGGCTGAAAATGTCTCAGAAAAAAATTTTGGGCCGATTTTGAGCAATTTTGTAGTCCAAAAATAGGAGGCTGATCCCAGGAAAAGTTGTTTTTTTAGAGGTTTAATCAATTTTAAAGCTCTTTTATGAACTGTAAACGAAGGACAGCTATCTTAGGAACTCGAATCTTTTTGAATTATGAAAAAATATTGATCAGAACAAAAGTTGTGCCCATTTATATGACCAAAATTTTCTGAAACACCAAAATTGTTCCTGTTATTTTCAAAAATTTCGTTTAAAATCACGATTTTTTGGATTTTTATCAATTTTAACTATAATAATTGTGATATTTTGATTTTTCATCCATATGCATCTGGTCTAGGATGCAAAAAATGCCACAAACATGGAGAATAACTAAAATATGTCAATTTAATAGCAAAATTGAGCTCATAAATTATCTAAAAATGCAGCAAATTTTACCCAATTTTTGAGTTTCTTAATTTTGTAAACAGAGTTGCCCAAAAGTTCCCAAAGTGATTCTTATTGCATCTGATAGGGAATTGTCTAAGCTTTCTGATGATACCATGCATTATACCGAACTATTGCAAACCAACAACGATTTCTGTCGTTAAATACCCCAAAAATTGCCTAAAATACACGCCATAAAAAAGGCGCGGTCAAAAATCAGGTGAAAATGTTAAAGTCACACAGTTTTTTTTAGATGGCTGAGTATTCTTAAGTACTATACTATATTTCAATTATTAAAAACTGCCTTGATCAGGCATTTTAGCCCGAAATAATAAATATTAGGCAATTTTTGGCTAAAAAAGGCAAAATTTCTTGACAGTGAAAAATGCTATTTTTTCACGCGACGCCATTTTGGCATCTTGCAAAGTTTTTAATTACGGTTTCTTGCATGAAATCGGGCTAGCGTTTTACAATAAGGAAAGCTTATTTTCAAAGAAATTTAAGAAAGTCGATTTTAGGCCTATGCTAGCATGGTAGCCCACTGTGGGGAACGATCAAAGATCTGAAACTGGTGAACAAGACAATTGTGTTTATGCAGAAAAACCCACTGTCAATCAGGTTTCCTTCACTTGACCTTCAACACACAACAATGGTTGTATTCAGTGATGCTTCCTTTGGTAACCTGGCTGATGGATCCTCACAAGGTGGGCATCTTGTATTGATGGTTGACCGATCTGGTCAGTGCTGTCCACTTACATGGCAGAGTAGAAAGATAAAGAAAGTATGTAAGAGCACATTAGCTGCTGAAAGTTGGGCATTAGTTGACGGCCTGGAGTCTGCAGAGCTGATTAAAGCGCAGTGGAATGAAATTGTGAAAATAGATGTTCCTATAGTCTGTATAACGGATTGCAAGTCTCTCTTTGATGCTGTGAAAACAACAAACACCCTTGAAGACAAAGGGTTGAGGATTCCCATGGCTTGTCTAAGACAACGATTCAACAGAAATGAAGTACGTTATGTGTGGGTTCCAACAAATCTCCAGCTTGCAGACTGTTTGACAAAGGCTGGTGCATCTTCGTCTTTGTTGCGTGAGGTGTTAGAAAAAGGGACACTTCCTAGTGAACTGAGACAGTACTCTGTATTGTAAGCTCAGTAATTGATGTAATGTGTAATGAACGTTGGAATTGAACTATTAAACTGTAATGTATAATGAAAGTTAGAACTGAACTTTTAAAATAAAAAGTGTGAATGAATGAGAATGAATTATTTGATATAATTCTATTGTTTTGATTGAATTGACCTACGGCAGAATCTGTGTTTTAAAGGTAGCCCAGTTTGATACTTGGGTATGTTGTTTTTAGGGATTTTTAATATTTAAACATTTTTAATATTTGAGAGAAAGTTTAGGGAGATTGTGAACTTGATATTCTCCTATTATATTTTATATGTTTGTATCTATATTTGAATGTGAGTTAACTCCCTATATTTCAGGAGTATGTTATATATATGATGTCTCTGTTAGCCGTGGGGTCTTTGTATATCTATTGACTTCTTTCCTGACTTATCAACGTGTGTCATTGCTTCTCTGATTTAACAAGGGTTGTGATAAGGATTATGGATAGCTTCGGGGTTATGGTTAGGGTTAGGGTTGGGATTAGGGTTTATGTAAAACCGTTTAGTACGGCTGCAAGACCATAAAAACCAAAGTCACGTGAAATTTTTGGGCGAGCGAATTAGTAAGAGCCATTGGCTTTATTAATGTGTGATCAGTTTAAAAAAAATTCAGTTCAACAAAAATTTCAATTTAATGCCTCACATAGCCATGTATATACGCGTACTGCGGTCGCGCGCTACTGCAAGCGAGAGGGCTCTGGTTAGAGCAAATTTTATGCCATTTATTACAGAATAAACAAGCATGCAATAAATCAATTTAATATTTAAAGGAATCCTAATTCATTGTGTAGCATGGTCCAAGGTTGTCACTCTTTGAATAGATTAGATATAGGTTGACGGGGCAAAGGAGTGTTTAACGGGTGGGTGTTCCCGTCCAACTCGGCGCGCGTCCTGGTAGGTTGTAAACCTACAAAGGAGTGAGCGTGCTGTTCGCTATTTCTCACACCAAATACGACAACCTAGTAAAAGTTTTGTATGGACACCGGTCTCTATCACGATACAAAATTAGGACTGTAGAATTTTGTGTATAACTATTAGAAGGACTGGAGGTAACGCATGGTGCATTAATAGAGTGGCAACCTACTGATATCACTGTGTATCATATAAATAATTTGGGACAAATAAATTGAAGGAAGTGCTTGGGCTATAATAATATAATATGTAATACATAGTAGCTTATTTTATGTTAACATTATATAATATTGATCCTAAACTTGGTACTATAAATTAGGTTACCTTGCCAGAGAACAGAATTCTTTTAGAAACATCTTGCAGGCCAGCAGCACCATTTTAGGTATTTGAGTTATTCAATATTCATTCATGTTGCCAAATTTTATAATTGAATTAAATTTTTTATAAAATTATTCAAACAATATACGTACACATAATATAGCAATGACCCTATATAAAATCTACCCTTTAAGAATTAAAAAAGTTTCCTAAACAATCGAAAATTACCCTTGGCCTTGTGGCTCCAAGTTGAGATCTAGACTGTTTATATCAACAATGTTTTTTCTCGCACCTCTGTCTCCACGGAGAGAAATCACTGTTGTTCTTAGGATTTCAAAGCGAAAGCGCTTTCTAATGTATCCTACAGCATCCGAGTACCTCTGGCCGGTGTGGTACTCCATCTTACTGGCCAGCTTCTTAACCAGTCTTTCAGCTTCACCACCCATTCCACCAGAAGTCGAGAAAACTAAAGGTGTGAAGCTTCCTTTCTCCACTTCAAGAACCCTTGCGTTGTAACATCGCTTTCTCTCATTTTCATGGGACTGGTACATCGCTGGAATCAATTTGCTTGCATTGGAGGGGGCTGGGGCATGAAATACCCTTACATCAAAAAATGCCCTCTCTGAAGCATTCCAAATCGATCTTGCAGAAATGTCCAGCCTAGCTTGGTCTCCTAGGACTGTTCCCTTTGGTAACTCTAGACCATCAACTGGAAGGAGAACTGGCTCAGTCTGCACATCCTTGCATTTCACAGTTCTCATTAGTTCTGCATTAATTGAATTAAATTTAATAATAATTAAATTGAATAATCATTCAATCATGACATGAACTGCACATCTAATGCATTGTTTGTTAAATCTACCCATGTTTTAACATGTCTGAGCGTGCTGAGTTATCTAGGTGGAAGATGCTAGGACACATACTGAGGAGCGATGAAAGATCACCAGCTCAAGCTGCGCTGTGCTTTGCTGTCGAGATGTGTAGTGAAGTTGGTAGACTCGGGGCTCACAGACGTAACCTCCTACACCACCTGAAGGTCGACCTCTGGAAGCGTTTCATCTTGCTGGAGTCATATGATGATATTCTTCATTTGAGAGAACTTGCTAGTAACCGTAGTTATTGGAGTAAATTGTTCGACTTTATACTTGAGTACAAGTCAATTTGAATTTTGGGACATATAATCTTACAAAGGATCACGTTTAGGTTCTAAATTATTTTAGGATTGTTGACATTTGTAAGATTGACATGTTTGATAATAATGTTTTAACATAATTTGTTTCATTAACAACCACATGAAAATATAGGTTGTAGATAAAATGTCAGACTCTCGCGAGTACTCAAAGAGAGAGAGGAAGAGAAGGGGAGTAGACCTGTCCGCCTTAGAAAAACTCAAGCAGGCACGGAGTGGTCAATCTAAAGCAATGGACAACATTAAGGTGTGTTGCCTTAAACTGTTGCTATTGCATGTAAACTTTAGTGACCAGCTTATTTCATTGTAGAGTATTGAAATGTTTTGTTTTGTATCTTATCCTAATTTAAAACTCTGATTTGCAGTTTAGTAACTGTTTACCCTCAGGACGAGGAAGCAATATACGATTATGTTACTGAGGACCAATATGCAGATATTGTAAATGAACGACTGCAAAATGAATGGGTGGTGGGTGACATTAAAGGAAGTGGCTACGATGATACAGGTAAAGTGAAGCTGTTGTATAGTGCTACTCTGCCCATGCCAGGAGGCTTTTGATGTGATTCTGCAAAAATAAAGTTATTACTAACAAGTTATTATTAAACAACTAAATTATTTTTTAAATTTCTAAGTGTGGTTAATTTTTCAAAAATTAAGGCAGAGAAATATTTGACGAAGAGCAGGAAGACTGGTCTGAGAGCATTTCAAGTGCTTCTGGAAGCAAGAAAAGAAAGAAGCCCAGCAATGTAAAGGCTCCAGCTAATGGTGGGATCGCCCAATTCATGACTAAGGGCAAAAACAAAACACAGACTGAAACTAAAACTTTGGGTTTGTATAATTTTACCTACGGGCAGATTAGAAATTTACTACTAAATACTAATAAATTTAGTTCCAGTTCACATGATCTGAAAACTACTGAAGGAAAACGTTTAAAATTATATGATTATGTTTTCAACTTTGATACGGTAGAATTATGTACTTATTTTTTAGGAACTGATGCTTTACTTGATGAGCTGCTGACATCACTTGATAAACCGAACATAACTGCTGCTGTATCAGAGGCTCCTAAAACTAACAGAGTGGTCAGACACCCTCCCTCCCAGAAACTCTCGCAGAGTTCCAAACCTAGCATTAAACCTGCTCCCACCAAGTTTGTTCCAAGAACTCCTCTTTTACAGCCTTTCAAAGTTTTAAGATGATATTATCCATGTGATGTAATTTTAACAATTTTTTATGACAGGTCATTAAAATAAAATTTTATCTTGGCATTCTTGAATTCCATTGATTCGGCTTTATGTTGATCATATGTTCCTCTACAAGTTAAACCACAGGATACTGCAAAGGAAATCAGCAGGGAATAATCTACCCAAAACAAGCATTAAAGAAGAAGCGCACAGTGTTTCATTCATGGAGGAAACAGCAGCTCATGTTGATGAAGACTCTATGGATATTCCAATGGATGACATAGACGATGCCATGCTTGAACAAGCTGACTTGGTCGTTAAAAGAGAGCCGCAAGCAATGGAGGTAAAAGAGGTAAAAGTAAAGGCAGAGCCTCCTGTAGACTGGTCCATGTTTGTTGATGAACCTAAGACTTCAGCTGATGTTACTTTTGACAAGGGAACCTGTCCAATGGTGACAGTAGATGAGCAGGAAATGTTCAAGATGTACTATTTTGATGCATACGAGAACAGCTACAATAATCCAGGGACGGTGTATCTGTTTGGAAAGTGGAGGTGGGGGAGGGGAAGTACACCAGTGCATGTGTAGCTGTTACAAACATTCCTAGAACAGTCTTCATACTCCCACGTGACACACACCCAGATACTGGAGAGGATATCAAGATGCTGGATGTCTACCAAGAGTTCAACGATATTATCGCCCCTAAGTTTAAAATCAACAAGTTTCAATCAAAACCGTCCTCTAAAAAGTTTGCTTGGAACGTCCATGGTTTGGATGTACCATATGAGAGCGAGTACTTGGAAGTGAGATATTCAGCTGAATACGCTCCTCTCCCGTTCAATCTTGAAGGTAAAACATTCCATCGAGTGTTCGGTACAACACAAACAGCACAAGAACTCCTTATTTTGCAGGGTAGGTTGAAAGGTCCATCTTGGATCCTTGCTAAAAACTGTGTCACACCCCGTCTACAGAGCACATGGGCTACATACGAGGTGGCAGTTGAGAAGATGTCAGATATCCAGCACTGGAAAGAGGAGCTTCCTCCTCCTCCTCTATCCTGCATTTCACTTAGTCTCAAAACTATGATAAACCCTAAGACCAATGCCAACGAAATCATTTCGATTGGAGCTTTGGTTCAGTCTGAGTTCCACATCGACAAGGCATCTCCAAGACAACACTACTCCCAGCATCTTGCAGCAATAACTATTCCAAATAATCAGGTCTACCCTTACGATTTTGACAAGGCTGTGAAGGCAACTTCAACTAATATCGAGGTTTTCAAATCTGAACGATCTATGTTGGGATGGTTTATTGCTCGACTCCAAAAACTGGATCCTGACATTATGATTGGTTACGACTGCGCGTTTGATATTGATGTCCTGCTTCACCGCTTGGTGGCTGTTAAAGTGCCCCACTGGTCGAGAATATCAAGGTTCAAAAGAACAACATTGCCCAAATCGTTTGGTAGTGCTGGTCTAGTAGGGGTGGGGGTGCTGACAGGCAGGATTGTTGTTGACACCAAGATATCCTGCAAGGAACTCATTAGACTTCGTAAATATGATCTGACAGAGTTTGCTAAGATAATTCTCAAAGAGACCCGACTGGAGTTCTCTCTGGAGCAAGCTGCTTCAATGTTCGACACATCCCACAACCTTCTCCAAGCGATCCACCACACACTGAACGATGCTAGCTTCAATCTGAAGATAATGTTCGAACTGATGGCTCTGCCTCTCAGCCATCAGATTACTAAACTGTGTGGAAATGTGTGGCAGAGGACACTTCTCGGTGGCAGAGCAGAGAGAAACGAATATCTTCTTCTCCACGCCTTTAATGACCAGGACTTTATTGTACCTGACAAGAAAACAGCGAAGATGAAGGCTGCGGAAGAGGGAAACGTTGACAAAAAGAAGGACACTTACTCAGGAGGGCTGGTTCTGGAGCCGAAGAAGGGTTTTTACGACACATACATTCTGCTTCTTGATTTTAACAGTTTGTACCCCTCTTTAATACAGGAATACAACGTGTGCTTTACAACAGTAGATGCTTCTACCGTCAACATCGACGGAATTGCTGAGGTTCCTAGTACAGACTTAGCACCTGGCATACTGCCAGTGGAGATAAAGAAGTTGGTGGAGCGCAGGAAGGATGTGAAGAACTTGTTAAAGAAAGAAACTCCTGGTTCTGATAAATACTTGCAGTACGATATCAGACAGAAAGCACTGAAGCTGACCGCTAATTCTATGTACGGTTGCCTTGGTTTCAGCAACTCTAGATTCTACGCTAAAGCGCTAGCCGCTCTGGTAACCTCTAAAGGTAGGGAGGCATTGCTCGCTGCCAAGGACCTGGTGGAGACCAACATGAGGATGGATGTTGTGTACGGAGACACTGACTCCATCATGATTAACACACACTCAACTGAGATTCAGGAGGTCATGCAGTTAGGAAGGAAGGTAAAGGCGGAGGTTAACAAAATGTATAGGCTGCTGGAGATAGACATTGATGGAGTCTTCAAGTCTATGTTACTGTTGAAGAAGAAGAAGTATGCTGCCATCACACTGCAGCTTCAAGCAGATGGGAGTTTTAGAGAGGAGCGGGAACTGAAAGGTTTGTGTTTAATATCAGTGCTTATATTTGAAGACGAGGACAAGGTAGATCAATACTCAATAGTTCTCTGTCAATATCTCTCCATGGATTTAGATTTCAGCAATTTGATCAGTTTTTCATGAGTTTAGAAGTTATTATATGCATTTAATTTACTTAATTATATAATTTCGAACTTTATCAGGTCTGGATATAGTGAGACGTGATTGGAGTGAGCTAGCTAAGGATGCTGGAACGTATGTGCTGGATTGTATCTTATCCAACAAGAAAAGAGACACCGTATTGGAGGAAATACACTCTTATCTTACCGGTTAGTCACACAGGAAACTGAGTTATTTTCAAAGTAGTTTCTTAGTCCCTAAACTACCTTAGTTGGTAATATTATGGGGGTCTAATTTGGTCCTTTTCGGGCCAAAGAACCATATTTATAACAGTCCATATTTTTAACAGATTTAGCATGTACGTGATTAGTTGTTAAAATAAACCAGTTTAAGATCTAGTACCCCGCTTCTCAGATATTGGTAAGCAAGTGACAGAGAGGAAGATCCTTCTCCAGAAGTATGTGATCCACAAGAGTCTCACTAAATCTCCAGCTGATTACCCTGACAAGAAATCTCAGCCTCACGTCCAGGTAATGGTAACTATTATAGTACTATTAACTATTACTATGGTAACGGTTATGGTCATGGCTAATGGGTATTCACTGTCATCTTCATTCTTCACATTTGGTCTTATTTTCACCTTCATTCCAACTGCTATAAATTTTACTTTCCCGAATTTTCTACTTAAATATTTAAATATTTGACACTTCTCTGAAATACCTGTTTGCAGGTAGCGCTAAGGTTGATCTCACAAGGGAAGCGTGTAGTATCTGGTGACGTTATAGAGTACGTGATCTGTGAGGACGGGACTACAACAGCACCTACACAGCGGGCTTACCATCCTTCTGAGATCAACGATAAACCTGGTACATTTTGTTAATCTTACAACCTGTTTATCTTACAACATGGAGACATTTTTATCATTTTATTGTTGACACAGGAGCTTTAGAGGGGGGTAACCCCCTTTGGACTTTGAGAGATTGGCGATGGAAGGTATATAATATAACGGCTGTGTTTCAGAGATGCTGAAGATAGACACCCACTATTACCTCTCCTCTCAGCTACATCCTGTCGTATCCCGGCTCTGTAGCCCTATTGAAGGTTTGTTTATTATATTCGTTATCATATTTTATATTTTCAAAATTGGAATTATAATCACATTTGTGATTGATTTGTAATTGGTTTGTAAATTGCGATAAGTTCAGTTTGCTGCTACCGTGTAGTTAGCCTTTGCGTGTGTACTTGTACATTCCTATACAAGTACATTATGGAGGATGATCGTAAGGTGACCCAATCTCTGGACCAAATTCAAGGATTCGAGTATGATGAACAGACAAAATTGAAGGACAGTGTTACTAAGTGGTTCATTACGCTGGGAAAAGAACTGAAAATCGACGACAGAGATATTTGTGGAGATATGGACAGAGAAATATTTATGGCTCCAACTGTCTATAAAAAGCATCTGGCACTTCGGCTTGTGGAAGCAATAGACCTCGTTCAACGGCATGAATGCCAGATGGGTAAAATGGAGGAGATCATATATTTCTTGAAGACGGAAGCGTTAGAAGACAAGGATAAGTTGATCAGGCTGCAGGGCCAGCTGCTTGTGCAGAAGGACAAAGAACTAGAGTTGCTTAAGACGTCGGTTAAGAAGACAGTGCAAACAACGGTGGAGTCAGGGATTAAGAGCTATAGTGCAGCTGTACAACAGAACAGTGCAAGTGGTACGGTCTGCAACAGTAACATCCTGAAGAAGGTGATGAAGAGTGTGGCTGCAGAGGAGGACAGGAGCAAGAACCTGATTGTGTTTGGGTTGAAAGAAGAAGAGGGAGAACAGCTTCCAGCGCTAGTAACCGCAGTTCTGGAGGAGATTGGGGAGAAACCTCACTTCGAAGCGACTAGAGTCGGCAGGAAGAGGCCAGGTAGTACGACTATCCGACCAGTAAAGATCACTGTCCCAAGCTCTACAGCGGTTCAACAGATTCTGACGAAAACAGGAAGACTGAGGCTAGTTGAGACCCACAAAAATGTATGGATCTGTCCAGATAGATCTAGCGAAGAACGAGCAACGAGGAAACATCTGGTTACCGACCTGAAGAAGAAGAGGGCTGAACAGACTCATCTCGACCACTATATCCGGTACGGGAAAGTCTGTAGCCGTGATAAGACACCACCGTGAAGCAATTCATGTCTCTCGGACACTGATCAGTATTTGAATGAGTATTGCGTATCTTAATAGTTTTCGGACGTTATCTGTATTTGAGAGACAATTTTATAATTTATATACGAGCTATTTCTTGATTGTTTCACACTTCATATTTCATAATTTGTTTCACACTTCATATTTCATAATTTTATTACTAGGTGGAGGTGACGTTATTGAGACTTTGGGCGGCCATAAAACTCCTGTTTTAAAAGTTGTCCTCTGTACTTGTTTCACTGACCCACGCTTTATAGCATTTATACATTTCGGCCCATTTTATATGTTTGTTCGATTTGCTGTACATTTGTATATTTGCTATTTTGTAAAAGTTTCAAATCAAATCAAATCAATTGATTTGTAATTGATTTGTAATTGATTTGTAATCGTTTGCTCCCTAACACCTCCTAATACAGGTACAGATGTGGCTCTGATAGCGGAGTGTCTAGGTCTGGATTCAGCTGGATATAAGAGGTCTCTAGCTGCAGATGAGAACAGTTCTAGTTCATGTGTAGTGCTCAAGGAAGTAGTAAGTTTATTTTAGGTGATGTCGCCAAGATTGAGTGTTATGTTAATTGTTACATAGCGTTTACAATCTAAAATACACAATAAGACTATCCTTATCAGGTACTCACTAGAATGTAATAACAAATAATTGTAATAAAATTTCATCCTCTATTGTGCCAGTGTATCCGCGACTGCTTCAAGTACACACGTATCCATAACAGTTTTATCATCTCTAAACTGTGTGTGAGTGAGTCCGGCCACCGTACACAACTCAACTCCACCTCGTTTATCTAGACTCTTCAGCCCAAACAAGTCCTCTTTGTAAAACCTAGTCTCCTCCATGGGTATGACCTTGTTTTCTTTAGTTCCTCCCTCCGTGTAGAACCCAAACTGGGCCGACTCTCTCGGTCTGATAGCATCTTCATCAGGACCTGAGACTAGAATCAGCTTTCGGAGCTTCAGGAAATTGGCTTTTTGTGTTGCTTTCTCTTCGTCTGTACCCTTTTCGTTATTGAGTCGAGGGAAGAAGTCAGAGTATTTCAGGTATCTATCGTAGTGGTTCGGGTCTAGGTAATAGTTGAGAGGCGCCAGTCTTTGTCCCTGTTTAGAATACACAAACCTGTAGAAGGTTGGGGTTCTGGCAAAGTTATCAATAAAGGGGACCATGTCCTTGACAAGGGGCGGGGGTCCTGCTATACCATGCTGAGGAGATGCGATAGAGATGAAGGTGTCCACATTGTGGTCATCCCAAGCCTCTATCATCCCCCTCCATACTATCCCTCCTTGTGAGTAACCAACAGCTATCACAGCGTCATACTGTGCTGCTATCTCTTTAACTTGCTCCAGGATCTCAGGAACCTGCATTGATAGTCGAGTTAGACTTGGCCGTCTGCCATTAAACGCGTCTATTAGGTGGACAGTGAGGTTGGAATGTTCCTGTATGTACTTCTGGAAGCTGAGGTGATCTGGTGCGTTGTAGAACTCGTCCAGACCGTGCATGTGTAGAATTCCAACATTGAGACATGATGAGAGTCCAAGTAGAAGGAGGAGTGGGAGTGCAACACGCTGAAACATCTTGTTATTTGCATGTAGAAAAGTGAAGTGGGTTTATATAATAAGAGAGCACAGGTGGAATTGAACGTGCGAGGTTGTTTTCGGCTTGTCTTTGACTCTTTGTAGCTATTATGTGAGTTGGACTAAAGTTGTGAACTTTGAGAAAGTAAAATAATTACCACTTAGATTTATTTGTTCATCAGCTGCTGCCATGATGAAGAAGATGTGTACTTTGTAACGACCGTCCATTGACAATGTGTCACTTTGGCAAGAAACTGTGAATTTCCTCTTATTTCTATCTGGGCTGGGTCTTCTAATCTATTCTTGGTTCTTTGCTCAAACATCTGTTCTTAACATGAACCACGTACAATTCAAGCCTGTTAAGGGGAGATACACCAAAACCGTTTTTGCTCCGAACATCGATTTTATTTTATATTATTTTTAAATAGACAAAAAGAACAAAATTGTACACCTTCAAAAATTTTTAAAAATATTCCCTCATCGAGAAAAAAAATATTTTTCTTTTTCGAAAATTTTTAAAATTTGGAGAAGTCTGTCACTGTAATACCGATAGTTCGGCCATTTAAAAAGTTTTTTGGCTGATTTTTTTACTGAACATTACTTACACTTCGTACTAGAAGCCATTGAAAGGATTATATAATTGAACAATAAATGACCAAGTTACAGACCGAACAAGGTGAAAAAAGAAAAATTGGGATTTTTGCCTACCACCAAAGTTGTACATTTCACCACCCGCCCAGGTCATCAGATATCGCTTCAAAAATTCTTGTCAGTGTAGTTGATGATCATGGCAAGCTTTTTGGAACCGGATTTCTCTCAATTTTGAGTTTTAAGCTATGCAATGTGGCCTCAAACGACTTAGTAAAATTCATCGTAAAAAAGGGCAAAAAAGGCAGATTTAAGGCTTAAAATGCCTATAACTCAAAAAGTATCAGTTTTTCTGAAATAATTTTTACAGGATTGTAATCAGCTTGGTAAGACGAATCTTTTAGTACGACATTTATAATATTCAAAGCCACAAAAATTGTAAAAAAATGTGTACAATTTGTACAAAATTTATACAAGGGGGGACCCTTGTGTTCGAGCTAGAAAATATTTAAGACAATTTGTCTTCTAAGAGCACCTATTTGGTACTAAAAGATTTGTCTTACCAAGCTGATTACGATCCTGTAAAAATTATTTCAAAAAAACTGATACTTTTTGAGTTATAGGCATTTTAAGCCTTAAATCTGCCTTTTTTGCCCTTTTTTACGATGAATTTTACTAAGTCGTTTGAGGCCACATTGCATAGCTTAAAACTCAAAATTGAGAGAAATCCGGTTCCAAAAAGCTTGCCATGATCATCAACTACACTGACAAGAATTTTTGAAGCGATATCTGATGACCTGGGCGGGTGGTGAAATGTACAACTTTGGTGGTAGGCAAAAATCCCAATTTTTCTTTTTTCACCTTGTTCGGTCTGTAACTTGGTCATTTATTGTTCAATTATATAATCCTTTCAATGGCTTCTAGTACGGAGTGTAAGTAATGTTCAGTAAAAAAATCAGCCAAAAAACTTTTTAAATGGCCGAACTATCGGTATTACAGTGACAGACTTCTCCAAATTTTAAAAATTTTCGAAAAAGAAAAATATTTTTTTTCTCGATGAGGGAATATTTTTAAAAATTTTTGAAGGTGTACAATTTTGTTCTTTTTGTCTATTTAAAAATAATATAAAATAAAATCGATGTTCGGAGCAAAAACGGTTTTGGTGTATCTCCCCTTAATATACGTTACATTGAAAAAGAAGAAAATGTGTGGGACTTTCAGTGTCAATTCTCATAGATTATAACCCAAAACATTATAAATTATATTATAACCTCTCCCCCAGGACCGTTACAAAGACTGTGCCCCCCTCACTCTGCCTTGTCAGCACTGTTCAACCACCCTGACCATCACTACCTTGTGTGACATGACCTCCGCCCCTCCCCGCCCCTCTTTCTCTTGTCAGAGTTGTGCTAAATCTCTGGGTCCCCACTACATCGCTAACAAAATCCTGCTTGCTGCTAGAATGTGAGTTTTTGGTGTTTACTCGTTATTCGTTATTGCACATCATTATCATCACCAGATTATATTTCATTGGATGATAAATTAAAACTCAGATTTCTTAAATATGAATCAGATTTTATGCCTATGTTGGGACTTTTAATGAAGTAGAACTCTAAATATGCCCCCCTCAGGTGTATCCAGAAGTATTACAGTGGATCAGTGCGGTGCGAGGACTCCGCTTGTAACTACACTACCCGTAACACTCCCCTCTCTTCACGCTGTACTCAGTGCTATAAGTTAGTCTTGCTAGTGTTCGACAAGCTTCAGGGCTATCTGTTTATCTGTTACATGATTTTAGAGCAGATTTATAGCTAACTCTGCATTAAAAGATATAGCTAACTCTGCTTTGTTTCTCAGTCTTTACTTGAGCTAGAAACAGTACAAGTAACACAATAACATTTGCAATGTTAAAATCAAAACTTTTAACGTCAATATTCATTCAGTCTCGCACTACCTAACTTATTGTTTATTTTCACAGAGGTCACGTGACTTACTCGATATCTGAAGGTGCTCTCTACAACCAGCTCTCATTTTATCTCTCCCTCGTCGATTTCAAGTTAGTTCAATTCTGAAGTGTAGCAACTGGTACCTGATATTAGTTTACAATTCCGTAAACATAAACCTAACTTACAAATAGATAATTGCATAATTAACATAGCAAATATATATAGACCTGATTTCGTAAAGTTACAAAGGATAAAAACGGAGAACTTTCTCGTAAATTTGCAAACTTCAAACAGAGTACTATATTTACTTTTTTACAGGAGTTTTGCGGCGAAGTTTTCAAAGCAGTCGCCCCAATTGGACAGTCTTATGTACCTAGAGAGCGTTCTACAAATTCCCTACAAAACTCTGACTAAATTACTGGAACAGAATGCTTACTCTCAGATCGACCTCACCAAACTATTCGCCGTAGTCGGTGCTTGATTTGCTGGAAAATATATTTAGCTTATAGCTAGTACAATAACAGATAACAGAGAATACGATAGCGGAATAGTTCAGATGCTGAGTGCTATGTTAGGAGATCAACAAGTGTTAGAATTACGAACAAAGTTATTACTGTGGTGACTGGTGGTATGTTAAGATGTTGATAGGAGATCCAATTTTAACTGATCAGATTTTGATGTTTTAATTAATTTATAGTTATACAACTTAAAGTTCCAACGGATACATTCATCGAGCCCAAAAGAAATGGATTTTGCAACATTGGAACTTGGAAGCTCTATAGTCGGTTTCGTCGTAACGACAAACATATAATTACAGTATAAGACAGAATTGTAGTTAACATTTTATATTTGTAATACGAATCGTGGCTTGATTTTCTTTAATTTCTATTTGATATGTTAACCACACATTTGGATCAGTTGTGTGACTCGTGACTTTGTTTCTATCTCGTTTTCTTATCGACTTCCACCGATATAAACTTCGGTATCATTAATTGTTATTGTTTGGAGTCACTTTTTGTAACACGCTTTAACTTCGATATAGTGCTATCGCGGGAAACCTGCCGCGCGCGCACGACCATTTTATTTTTACATCAAGTAGAATGGATGTAAATATAATATAATTCAAGTTATTATATCGAATCTACGCCGCCGCGCGCATGCAGCAAAATGGACCGGGCAGGGTACCTATAGTTACATTCAAACTCCGGCTACTGTTTGCTTTTAATTAGGACGTCCGGCAAATAGGGAGGGGATAGTTTTGAAATTTCGGACAAATCCGGGAGGGGTTTCTAAAAATCCGAAAATTCTGGCAGAATTAACGAAAAAGTTCCATTATTTCAACTCTTTGACATTAATTACTTTGTAAGTTTAGATCCTTGTATTTTAAACGAAAAGTCGACTCCCAGAGCAACTCATGAGAGCCGAGACACAACTCGCATAATTGCCTACTACCTTAAAACTTATTCGATTGGGCCTGGGTGGCTACATAAATTTTTAAATGTAACTGCATGCTAAATTTATTGTTTATTTTAAGTAACTACGTATTTCATGAACAATGAATTTTGGTTGGTTATATTTGTACTTTTAAAAGTAGCTGGAAATCCGGACGTCAAGGGAGGGGATGGTCTGAAAATTTGCGATTTTGGCGGACGTCCTAAGTAGATGGTCCCCAAGTACAGTGCTACGGAGTAGCGCAGGCCGGGTTAGTCCATTAACAATGGAGAAGTTGGTTATGGTAGTAATGGTAATGTTAATGAATTTTAATTGTAACTGATTGATATGTAATATTTAGGCCCGTGGCCAGTTTTCATCAGTAATGAACCATTTTTAGTAGAGTTCAAAGTTAACGAGCTTCCTAAATCACTGTACATAACAGTCGATCTTCAAGATTTTCTTAAAAGGGCCCCGACTGTTGAGACCAAGTCGAAGCGATTTATTTTTGGACGCTGATTCCGAATCACCCCCATGACATAGGATTAAAATGCTCCGCTGTCAAGATATCAGCATATGCTGTTGCCTTGTTAAAGTTAGGGTTGGAGTTAGGGTTAGTGATTTCTCTCCGTGGAGACAGAGGTGCGAGAAAAAACATTGTTAATATAAACAGTCTAGATCTTAACTTGGAGCCACAAGGCCAAGGGTAATTTTTGAGTGTTTAGGGAATTTTTTATATTCTTAAAGGTTTGTTTTTATATAGGGTCATTGCTATATTATGTGTATATTGTTTGAATAATTTTATACTTATAAGTTAGGGTTGGAATCAGAGGATTAAGATTTCGTATAGTCATTCAGGGCCAGTATTTTAAAAGTCACGTGACAGTCGAGTGTAGAGTGATTAATCATCGTCCCAAAGTTATAACACCTAAACTGTATGGCTGATTTTACTGGGTGGCGTTCTGCCAGATCTGCCTGTATAATTCCTGTAGCTGTGGTAATTCCGCCGAAGCTTTAATTGGTTGATGAACAAAAAAGCCCGAGGTACCCAGGTAAAGTTTCAACTAGCAGAGATGTAAATTGTTATGGTCAGTGTTATGAAAAGCCTTACCTGGCGCACTGCAGAGTATCAATGCTTTGTACTTGTTGAAATAGATCAAATTCAAGCGCAGTAGAACCTGTTTTCTGTATGGTGCAAAAATAAAACCTGGACACACTTTTTACAGAACTTGCTCAGCAGCTCTTTTTATGGTAACCGTTTTATAGCCATTGTCATCGAGGACGTTCTCATAAGACCTCTTCGGACGTCTTACAAGAAGACACTGAATTGGAACCTGATAAGTTATGTTTGTACTCTTAAATCCCTTGATAAGGTGAGCTGGTGCACAGCGCAGGCACATTCAAAACACATGGGAGCATGGAAAACGTTGATTACTTTAGGCACAGGATATATTATTAAATCTAAAATAAAACTGACTGGACATCAGTGCGAGATCGTTTTGGTCGCCGCTGGACAGGGCATTCACAGATGTAAGGGTACTTCACCCTCAAGCCCAGTCCAACAGTGACAAGAGCATCTCACAGATGTACCAATCTCACGAGAAAAATAAAAAACGTGAGTACAATGACAGAGTCCTAAATGTTGAAAAGGCTTCCTTCACGCCACTGGTGTTCAGTACTACAGGAGGAATGGCAACCGAGGCTTCACAGTTCCTAAAACATCTCGCTGAAAAGATCAGCCTAAAGAAAGGCCAACGGTATTGTGATGTGATGTCATTTGTCAGACGCAGACTGCGTTTTGATCTACTCAGAACCTGTATAATCTCTATCAGGGGGTACAGAGGTACCAGAACCCTTCCACCCACGGCAATAAGTGATTTGGACCTTAACCTGATCAACACTCTTAAACCCTAAAAGGTCATGGAGTGCTTGTTGGATGGTGGTCTAAACTGCTTTTTGTTGTGATGTGATTTAGTGGATTTTACATATATTATTACAAAGGGTTTTATTTTACCTCAGTTTTTAAATTTGTACCATTTTTACAGAATTTTTATAATTATAATTATTTTTATATAGGGTCATTGCTATATTATGTGTATATTGTTTGAATAATTTTACTTGCAGAATCATTAAATCTAAAATAGATAATAACTTAACAGAATATAAAGAGTCCTGAGAACGAAGGCAATGACTTGAAATTGTTGTCTTCTTAACTATACTGAAGGAAATATGTTTACGGTACATAAAATTGAAGATGTACTGATGGGATATCCTTAGAATAAAGTTGGTGTTGACAATGCGTTTCTCGTAGCATAATTTAGAAACTTTACTTGCTTTGTAAACATTTGTTGTTTGTTAAGCTTTTCTTGGTATGATTGGAACCTTTACATTACTACTCAGAGGTGCAAGCTCTCATGTAGCCTGAACTAAACCTTTTTGCTGCAACACCCACTCTATCAACATCTATCCACGTCAGCCATTTTGTCAGCAAATGTCTTGGGGGATGATTTTTTGAAGCACTTGACGGTAATTGAACCATGTCTCTGCCGTTAATTGGATCATGAATTATTACACCATACATACCTGTACCACACATTATTTGAACCCCACCCTACTTTAAATTGTATCCAATTTTGGGGTGATCAAGTTATAAACAACGAGACAGCTCTCTTTGTGACAGCTAATATCTTTTTTTAAATACTATTTTGTACCATGTTAACAGTGCGATGCAGATGCACTGAAGGGATACAGGTACACTTCTGGCCGACTCAGCCGAATAATAGGAAACTTGATTGAGAATTAAATGAGGAAGGGTACCTGCTAAAAGATCAAGAATCTTACTAGAAGACCCCTTCAGTAAATCTACTATACTATAACTATTAACTATTATTATTATACATGAGAAGATTCTTGATATATTTGTAGGCCCCCTTGCCCTCCTAAATTGACCCTCAATCACGGTTTTCCGATCATTCAGCTGAGTCAACTGACAAGATATTACCAAGACGTGTAATGTTGCACAAATGCAATGAGATCATTAGCCTGAACCCTGAACCTTCTGCTCAGAAGGCAGATACTAACCATTCAGCCACTTAGCCTGGCAATAGGCTTATCTTGTTGACCATCTTTATACTAGTTGGGAAGGTTTATATAGCAAAGTATTATTGTGTAAATTTGATCTGAAGGGTAACCTACAAGATATGAGATGAGAGATCCATTGGCAGGGCTGCTCCTTCTCATTTAATCCTCAGTCATTGATCTCCCAATAGGACACTGTACTTGCCAGACTAAGAAATTCTTATTTTAGTGATATGCTCGTTGTAACAAAATTAGTTGAGGTGCTAGTTTGTGAACTTAATTTGCTGTAATAAACAACAAAGTTCATGCTATCATGCCTAATAGCTAATAGAATCTGTCACAGTGTCATCTGTGGTTTTAAAACAATTTGCTATATTATTCTACTATACAATATACATTTACAGATCCACATCATTATTACATTCCAACTTATAGCATGACTCTGACAAAGAAGACTGTTAGCCAAATAAAGTTAGAACTGGACGATTTGGGTATAGTATACAGAAGTACTCTCCGTAAAGCTGAACTTCTTTCCCTGTTGGAGGTAAGCAATTATTTAAGGAAACACGCTTTTTGAATTACTTTTACTATGAAATTTGGAAAACACATTTTATTCCATCAACATGTAACTGTCAGTTAATATTGTTAAGTCCTGAGTGTATCCAGGAAACAGCAATATCTACTTCAGTATTGCGAACTTGTTCTATGAGTACAAAATCCTCCTGAAATGTATTGAGTAATCAATTGTGTAATTTCTACACTATAGTTGTGTGTAAAGTAGCTTTATAGTTTATAAGGAGGAATCCAATTGGCCAAAAGATGGCTTATGTATAATATTTGAATTATCTCTAACATGACATTAGTCTAACTACATCCCAATTCCAGGCAAGTTTAACCCCAGTCACTGAAGAGTTGGAAAAGTCGGACCCTTACTCACCGCCCTACACCCGCCGAAGGGTATGTACATTTTTAGAGAATATTTCTCACAGCTAAATAAAATATTTCAAGACTTGAACGTGGTGCATTAATTATTTATTATTAAAAAACATCTATTTATTTGCCCAAGTGCAAGTCGACTTAAGTCTTTTGAACAACAAGGAACCGTTTGTCGCAATACGGTCCAGCTCTCTCCCTCTCTCTCTCTCTCTCTCTCTTTAATTGCCTAATTGACATGTGGTGTAAAGTGTGTAAGACAGTGTTTCCACACACGGAGTGGTGTACACTAGTGAGTGGCACCAGCTGCACTTTACACTGCTGCACTTTACAAACACTCGTATATAAGGGGGGCTGGTAACTTAGTGTTACACAGCTAGGAAACGTAAAGTTCCTCTTGTTTGAAATATCACAGCACTGGTCATGGTCCCCTACGTGTTGTGTTGTAAGTAACTGAACACATATTGTTATTATTATACATTTATCACATGCCTTCTCATACGATATTGTGTGGTTACACGACCCACCATCTATTGAAATATAAAGCATGGAATCTTTTGAGAACTTATTACTAGTTATAGTGGGTAGATCTTCAAGATGCTGTTATGGCATGATAATCACTAGGTGAAAACATGCCGGAAACTATGTAATGAGGTTATCTCATTCGTCTGCATATTAGTAATGAAAGCGCTCATAATATAAACGTGACCTGGAATCCTGACCCCAGTCGTAATCAGGTTTTAGGAAGAGGTTAGCCATTCCACGGAATAGTAGTAGTACCTGTGGTATTTCACGGAATAGTATCTTATACATTGTTATAGTAATATTCATAAAGTACGGGGCTGGGTATGTACGGGGCTGGGTGTGTACGGGGCTGGGTATGTACGGGGCTGGGTATGTACGGGGCTGGGTATGTACGGGGCTGAGTGTGTACGGGGCTGGGCATGTACGAGGCTGGGTATGTACGGGGCTGGGTATGTACGGGGCTGGGTATGTACGGGGCTGGGTATGTACGGGGCTGGGCATGTACGGGGCGGGGTATGTAGTATGTACGGGGCTGGGTATGTACGGGGCTGGGTGTGTACGGGGCTGGGCATGAACGGGGCTGGGTATGTACGGGGCTGGGTATGTACGGGGCTGGGAATGTACGGGGCTGGGTATGTACGGGGCTGGGTATGTACCTTCTCATCAGATACACTTATAAAAAGGCGGGATATAAAGAGACGAGTGCAGTAAACTCGCGGTATAGATGCTGGATAGACTCGAGTGTAGAGGGGGTGTAGATATTGCGGGTACAGTTGGTGGGTGTGATTAGACGTTAAAGGAATGTGAATTTTGGATGTCCCTATATAACAAAATGTACACAATTAAAGTGCTCATGGAATAAGGTTGGTTGGTTGGTTATAGAACCCCTCCCCAATCTCGTATTGGAAAACGACGAGACTAAATTCTGAGTATGAATACGGGTGATACCTGCAAGTGTATTCATTAAGCATTTAGAGTTCTGTAAAACTGCAGTTACGATTGTGCGAGGATATTTTGTAATAATTTGGATCGACATCAAAGAAGAGGAATAAGGTATGGTTAGTTCGTTCAGGTACATATACATTGTTTTCAGTAGAAGACAAATGTTTACCACACAGGTGACAATATATAAATGTGGCAGTCTAAAAGTAGCAGGATTATCTATATATTCTATTATGGAACATGTAATGGAAGGCAAGAGAGCATTTAGATAATTTATGATAGTATAACTTATGAGTTAAAAGAAAAGATATTTGTATTGTGATGCTTTAGCAAAGGTAAACTCCGGTAAACTACACAGTACACACTTAGATCGAAAATGAATATACTGCTAGTACAGCCTGAATATGGTAAATGACAATGTATGTATAATAAATGCATGCAATGATCATAGATCAATCTATACAGGATTATAGGGGTTCTTAATAAACGTCTATGCTTATTGTTTATAATGTAAAATAAGTGGTAAAATTAAAAATGTTCGAAAGTTGTTTTCGCTATTTTGCCAACGATGGCGATAGTAGCTAGATTGGTCATGTTTTTAAACCCCGTAATGACTTCCTCAAGATGTTTAAATAATAAAACGGAGCCCCTCCCCCCTTGGAGTGAGGAATGTGTTAAGCTTATTGCCTCTAATTAATGTGTCCTCAATAAATGATATTCCGTTGAGAAATAGTATTAGATGATGGGTATATAAAAATTCCGATCTTCTCTTTTGAAGTTTTTAACTTATCAGACCAACCTTGACATCAGACCCATATTATATATATGTACACGGAGACCTAAATCTGCGGATATATTATAACTGTTTTCAATCTCTCCAATCTCCAACCGTGAAATCATGGCTTACCTTGATTTTAATGCAAGCATAATAAACTACGTTTAACAGTAGCACAGAACTTCAATCATTATGTGCAAGCTCAACAAGATTTCCTTTAACATTTAACTCTAATTTAGATCAAAATTAACTTTATTTAAACTTTATATCCAACTACCGCGTCGCGCGGTGGATTCTACTTATAGATGTGATGATTGTATAAACCGTCGCGTCGGCAATACATTATATCTGTACTATTTTTCCGTAGTCGCTCCTGTTTCACTGACCTTGTGGCCCCTGGCCCCTTTGTTTATTCATTATTCATAAGTTTATATTTACGTTTAACATATTTTATCAATTTGAAACACCTTTCACTGAAATGATTAACAAACCTCCCTTGTGCTGGTTTGATAATCATATCAGCATTTCGATGCCTTTAAAATAAAATTTGTAGGCTAATTTATTATTTATATAATATATTTGTATAATCAAATCTTTTTGATTCATCTAACCATTGAATATAATAAAGAAAAGGAACCGTCGATAAGGGCGTTGATATGAAAACAGATCACCTTCTCATTCGAGAATTCGCAATGGATGCGAAGTGCGAACAGTGGTTTCCCATTTCGTTATTTAGGACGTACGTAGTAAGCCTTTCTGTCACGCGGCATTGGCAGGATTCCAGAACCGTAGTATAATAGTAACTTGTTACCAGTTACCAGTCTGCACTACTCACTATTGGCCCAATTATCAGTTCGTGTTACCAACTAGACTACCTTAGTTCCCAAAAATTTGTGTGCCATTATTTTGAGCACAATTTATTTGAGCCCGAAAAATTTGGGCAGAAAATTTGAACTCATTTGGGCGACCGAAAATTTGGGCACAAATTCTTCGAAAAATGAACGATTTTCCACTAAAATTTCAGTTAGATATTTGCCTTAGTTCATTATTATTCCTTATTATTCCAGTAATTTTGCTTTCAATTTTAAGCAGAATTAGAAAACTAAAATTTCAAATATTATTTCACTTGGATATGAAGAAAAAGCCATCTTTTTATAGATTTCAGGGCCACAGGCCAAATGCCAAAAGTTTGGTTAGCAAAAAATTTAGCAGACGGAAAAGATTTATGCAATTAATTTGGTCTGCAAAAAATTTGGGCGAGAGGCCCGCTCAAATTTTTTGTCGCCCAAATTTTTGGGAATTAAGGTATCCTTGTAGCCCCCCCCCCCCCTTTCCCCCCCCCCCCCCCCCTGGGAGCGCGGTATCATTAATCACACTTACAGTCGGCACTCTGCATGTTACATGTAACTTAGTGTCACACCTTGTGACATTTATTAGTTTAGCCGAAAGTTACATTTATATAAACATATCCTGGAATGTTTATAAACATATCCAGAATGTTTCTATGGTATTTCCGCCATACTTCCCGCCTCATTAGGTGGACCTTGAACAATATGTAAATATTAAAACCTGCGCATATTTTCTGCATATTATGCAGCCTGGGACATCAGTTGGTACGTGTGAACACTCACATTATGCAGTGTGGTCCACACTCTCTCATTATTAACATGTAGCCTCTCTCATTATTACGTTGTGCTTCGTTTTGTTGTACCTGCACTGAGGACCTTGTACCTGTAGGTACAGTGTACTTGTAATAGTAATACACTGTGGAACATCTGACTAATTCCACGTCCAATTATTACTCGCTACATTCCTGACTGCCTGTGACGACAGTTACATTGAGCCTTTAATTGTGGCACAATTCTTTTTGTTTTGTTTTTAGTTAGTTCAAGAGAATCAAGACTTTAGTTAAAAGCTTTGAGCCCGTGCCTGGAATGTTTAAAATAGGTAGTCCAGGGACGGTCTAGTATAGGATCCGAATTTTATTGTGAAGATTTGATTACCGTAAAATTACGGTCTTACCTTACAATCCTCATCTGCACGTTTAGGTACAGAGCGGGTATCACGTCTTATGCCCTGTATCTAGCACATTGAAATGGAGGACAAATTACGGCGGGAAGGGATCACGTTTCTCACACTCGCGACTCCTTGCAGACAGCCAATAGGAGGGCCCCTAGTTAGTCACGTGTTGTAAACAGACCAATGACAGGGCAGCACGGTGTTCGTGACAATACAAAAACATTCCGAGGGAGCTTAGTTTTGTTTCTCTATATCACCACGCTGCCTGCCCCTCCAGGCGTTGCATACCTTTACATTCCTGATATTCCCTCATTACACGGCCCTATCCGCTCGAAGGTATTTAGTCTTTACCGACCGGTGCTCTTGCACGAGTCGTGTTTGATGGGGTTCATTTGTATTAAGGTACGTGTTGCGACAGCCAGCAGCCTTCACTATTTTCTTAATCCCTTTGTGATATAAGATATATTGTCCCTGATTTCTGGGATATGAGATATCTTGATATCTCCACCTGCAATGTAGGTAGAGATACGAATACCACTGTTGTTAACTGTTGTTAACTGGGAAGTCTATCTTCTTGTGTTGCCCGGTGTCACTATAGCTCCTAATTAACTTTCACAGTGATCATTCGATTTGGTGCTCTTAAATTGGGTTGGTTAAGTTTCAGAGTGCGTCTTAATGGACTTAGTCCTGCACTAGCCTCGTCATCATAGTTTTATACCTTTTGACATGTTTGCAGTCTTTGCACACATTCTCATTGTTCGTCGGAACCTTCCATATATACCAGTATTGCTGAAGCACTAGTTGTATGTATAACAACACAAACTACTTGACTACTATAGCTTCGTACAACTGCAGCCGCCTGCACAAAGGGATATTGGTACTCCCGCCTTATTCTTGAAGTTGTTGAAAGCAACACTCACCTGCTTGCTGTGTTCCTTCTTGTCACATTCCTTAAAATAGGTTTTGTACTCTTTCTCAAGCCTTCAAATACAAGCTGTCCGTTTTAGATTTCGATTGAGAGTTTAGTGACTGTGAGTGCTAAATTGAGTTTGCTTTTGTCGATTAGTTTATAAGTTTGCATTGTTCAGGTAATACTGTAAGATTTCAATTTCAGTTGAACACCATCATATTGAGTCCTGCAAACATTTATCAGTAGTTCACCGTTGATTTGTTTGTTCAACTCAGATCAATATCGCCATATTTATTGTTCCAGATTTTTACTTCTCTCCTCTAATTTGTTTGTGATTAGATCAAGATTCAAGCTACATTCTTAAACGTGTTTACACACTGCACTTATTGCTGTTGCAAGAAAATTATGTCAAATTTGGATAAGCTGCTCAAAATTTGTTCTTGGATCGAAATCATCGAATCACATGAAATTGCATCGAATTAAACTTCAAATCTATCGATGCAATAGGCATCTAGCCAGATTTTTGTCATTCAAGACCCTCCTCCCTCGGTAAGACACTTTACACATAGCTAATTTGTAGAATTGGAGTGAGCTAAATCACCAGCCCCCCTCCCCTGCCCCCTCCCAAGGCTGGCTACGTAGTATGTAAACGATCCCTTTTAGGAATTACTTCAGCACACCAAATAATAGCACGTTAACCAATGATGCGATGTGTTGGAATGTTGCCAAATAACAATAGCACCCTGCTAGACTCTGCAACTTAATTACTGCCTGTGTACGTGACTGCGGTACTCAGGCAGATCTACCCGCAATGGTGCCACACTCTTCGTGTAGTATTTCTATAAACTGTTTTGTCTCTTTTACTCAGTACATGCAGTGAAGAAGCTTATTATCCCCGATTCTATTCATATATCTCCGATTCATGTCTGCAGTATTTTATTACTTTCTTAGCCGTGATTTGTTTGCTTTATCTTTCTTGACGCTCCTGGACTTTTCGACAGATCTTAATGTTTATCCATACCCCGTCAACATATTTTATCAACATATCAACATATCCACATATCAACATATCAACATATACCGTATATGATGTACTATGATGATAGGTAGTGTTATTTCTTGCTAAGTACAAGACATAATTGTCCTATTTTTATTCTCGTTCATAATCACCATTCATAATAACTGATATTCGTCTTCTTACCGTAAACAATTATAATTTTACAACCTGCAATGATACCAATCTTCAGCTGTAATATATGTACATAATGTCACCACATCAAATGTTCACAATGCATTTTCTAGAAAGTTCTAGTTGGCATGTAACCAAGTGTGTCTCTAAGACACGTGACTAAGTGGTCTAGTTCAGAGGTTGTACCTCTCAACACTAGACCGGTATAATTAGGCTACATAATACATGTTTATACCTTGTTAGAGAGATTGTCTCTTCTTCTCTGGTGCTTCGTCAGTCAGTCTCCATAACCACACATAAATTGACTATTTAGTACTGTACTGTTAGTCAATGTTCAGTTAGTTGCCAGCGTGTGTACTGTGTGTTGCTACTCTACCTTCACTTTCGCTCAGTCTAGCAATGGTTCGTCTCTCATCTCAATAAAGTTCCCTTACAAAATCTAGTATTCTCTTACTATCTCTCTTTCAAGTTGCATGGTATGTGTAGTGGGTATGCAGGTATAGCTTAGAGATGATATTACGGTTCCTTATTTGAGTGTTTGGCAGGTATTTAGCATTCCATTCTTAGTACACGCACTGTACGTTAGTTAGCTTCCTCAATTTAGAGGCCACAATATTGATCATTAGGGTTCAATGCTCCAATCTTCTGTTCTTATTTAAAGCTGCCCATTTGGGACGGTTTAAATTTGATTTCAATGAAGCTAAGACCCAATAGGATTGTACATTACCTAAGGAGGCTACTATGACCATTTCTACTAACTTCTCAACTGCACATGGCTTAGTTACCTGTTACGTTTTGCTTAAATATAGACAGTAGGACAGCATATTTATATTTAACGTTTACGTTATGTGAATATACCCACCTATCTGGAGCTTTAGGAATTTATCGGTACAATTGATTTAATTGTTTCTTAATTTAGATGCAGTGAAATTATCGGACTGCGATGAATGGGGACTTGCCACCCCATGGCAACATTAAAATATGTCGACTCTGTTACATCGCTTCATCAATAAATGTAATAGATTTAGTTTAATGGTACGTATGATACCTTGCTCATCGCAATAAACGTGGTACTTGAACATTGGTCCAGCCATCTCTTTCAGAAGTTCAGTTTAGTAATGGTTACTGGTCACCCAAAACATGCCCAATGTTCAAGCTTCCAACCTAGACTTCATACTCAACATAATCATTTAGTACATGTCAATTCTTCGTCCCGTTTATGGTATCCAGAAAGTGTTGTTTTGAATTTGCCGCGCTTGCAACATCCTATTTTTACCTTCTGGCCATCTTTCTTGTTTTTGCCGATGTACGACTGCTGGTCGTAAATCGTGCATCTGATCGTTGAGCCTGCTTTTGATAGTCATTATAAACTAATATTATCAATAACAGCATGCGAAATTAAACCATTACTGAATCTTTGTCTATGTAATATCGTGTTTCTTTCGAGTAGATGAGTTGCATATTTGGGGACGTCATCTTAAACCTCAATGGGACACCCGAGTCCATTTTGCATCAAATAACCGCGCGCGCGAATCGATTGTGCGTGTTGTAAGGGCGCAGTAGTGAGTTCAGAATAGACTCGTTTGAAAAAAAAATCGGACCACCTTCTATAATTTACCGCCCAAATTTTGTTTACTACAATTTGGCAATCCGTCAAGAATGCAAGTTGCAGAAGTGCCACTGTTTTATCCTTCAAGAAAGTGTCGCGTTTCCCCTGTGTTATTTGGGGAGGAATCTATCCACTGCTCCATGTTCTGTCTTCTCCATGATGCGTCAGTCTTGCTAAAAGTTCATCCATTTAATAGTTCATCTTCTAATATTAGCTGTTTTCTCGAACTGCTTCGGTTACTGATTTTGTGCTTCTGCATGCCTATACAGTAAAACCCTGATTTACCGCGTAGTTTGGGGATACGAAAATTGTACAGTAAATTGGAGTTTACGGTGAATCGGGGTTTTAATGTATTAGGGATAAGGGATTATGGGTCGTTCACATATTACGTAATCACTTTTGAACAATTCCCCACCCCCTCCGTAATCAGTTTCACACATAGCTATTGTGTCAAAATTACACTAGCGTAATCATTTGGAAACCCCCTCCCCCCTCGGCTGATTACGTAATATGTGAACGACCCCTTAGGATCTAAGGCAAAATATTAATTTATAATCTCCGAGTTGACGGTAAAACTGATTATTGATGGCGATCGGTTTAACTTGTCAGCTAAATAGATATCAGGCGCTTGTGCTTGGATTAACAAATGCCATTTCTGTTGTCAAAATTTAGGCAATATTAAAGTATTTGCGTGATTGCTAAATTGACTTGAGAGTATGTCGCTTAAAATAGTCCATTTTTTCATTGACTCATGGGTCAAATACTGGTAAGTTTAGCCATGAATTCGGGGGAAACAATTTAAGGGAACTTCGTGGGTGGAATTATTCGCGGCTCCTACGATATTCCTGATTTTATGACTATTTTTGGCATTATAAAATGAACTGGGTGTGTTTATTAAACTTCCAATAATTCCAGACGACGATGGCAACAGTAGATTTACAATCAGTGACCTCAAACCTACTGAAGCTAGATAGCAGTCCTATAAAACTAGATGCCAGTCCTATGAACCACGCCTCAGCTGTTATCGACGAGCTGGAATCTGCTGACCGTCAATCAGAAGAGGTGATTGTTGGTTAAATTATTTGTATTATTACATGTTATGATAACTGCGCAGCCCATGCTATGATAACTGCGCAGCCCAAGCTATAACCATGCTATATTATATATAACTATATAACACATTTTTATACCTATAAATGTTCAGGTAAGTGTTGATGTTCAGATCACAAAGGAAGATGTTGGTTCAGATGAGCATGTTGTTCTCCAAGAAGAACAAGTGACAGAGGAAACAGTGACAGAGGTTGAGGAACAGGTTAGATGGGATCTATGTTAACAAGGTTAAAAACCTTCTCGTTATGTAAGCTTTAAAAACGAAAACTTAGCAATCTTAACAAGTTTAACCTGGGTCATTTCCCATAGGTTATCAGAAACGGAACTTCAAGTCCAGAAGAGGAGGATGTCTCAGATATAACTGATTCTGATGAGGAACTTGAGAAAGAGGTGACTGATCAGAAAGAGACCTTTATCACTAAGACGACGGTTAGTTTATTGTCTTAGTTAAAGGAATTAACTTCGCAGTTAATTAAATACCAATTCGATTTAAATTGGTTGATAATTTTATACATTTATTCCTCTGAAATATGTATTGCCTACTTTTCACTTCAAGTTGAGCTCGCTTGTGTGGGAAATAAGAGCTGATATCAGCATCACCGCACATTACCGTTATTTCTGACAAACACTGCGGCAGCAATGACCTGGTGATATTAACCTACTAAACTGCAGTTTAAAAGAAGATCACAGCGTATCAAGAAGCAGCACGAAGCTTGTTCAGGAGCTCTCTTTAGTGACGACGAGTTACCGTCTCCAGAACCCCTGGTTGAGGTGGATGGTCTCAGTACTACTAGCTCTCAGGTCAGTCACCTTTAAGCTGATGCTATCCAACTTAAGGGGGCAGGGGGGGGGTCTTAATGAAATTTCTCTCGAAATTGATTTTATAGTTGTTTCTAATAGAGGGGAGTGATATCTATCTGCTACTTTTGGTCCCATGGAAAAAAATTGTTCCTAGACGAAATTATTGCCGGTCAAAGGTCAGCGCTCATGTGTAATTGTATTGCGCAAGCGATTTTCAATCGCGCGCCCTGAAAATCGAGTCTAAAAATCTCTCCTCCTACATTTTTTGAGCAATCACCTTGAAACTTTCAGGATATGTTCTAAGGACCATTTAGAAACTTTTGCTCGTTTTAGAATTTCGAGATAGGCCTTTTAAACATTTTCTATTCCATTTTGAAAATCTTGGACCTGGAAAAATCGTCAAAAAAAGAGGTCCAAGATTTTCAAAATCTAATACAAATTTTGTAAAGGCCTATCTTGAAATTCTAAAACGAGCAAAAGTTTCTAAATGGTCCTTAGAACATATCCTGAAAGTTTCAAGGTGATTGCTCAAAAAATGTAGGAGGAGATAGATTTTTAGACTCGATTTTCAGGGCGCGCGATTGAAAATCGCTCGCGCAATACAATTACACATGAGCGCTGACCTTTGACTGGCAATAATTTCGTCTAGGAACAATATTTTTCCATGGGACCAAAAGTAGCAGATAGATATCACTCCCCTCTATTAGAAACAACTATAAAATCAATTTCGAGAGAAATTTCATAAAGACCCCCCCTGCCCCCTTAATTTTCATCGAAAAATGATGAAAATGATGCCCATTTATACATCAGTAAATGTATATCGAAACATGAAGTGGTTACCCTTACACTTAAGAAGACAACTCCATCTATCAACGTATATGTATAAAATTCTTAATGAGGCTGCACCATCATCATTCACAGATAAATTTTCTTATGTATCCGGAGGATCACGTGATGCTGAGAGGTGCAACCTTTATATTCACAAATCCAGAACACACAAAACCTTTACATATTTAGGTGCAAAATGTTGGAATACAATTCCAGAGAACATAAGGACTATAGAATGTAGTGTAAAATTCTCACAATGTATGAAATCTAAATTTATGTCAGATGTAATTCAAGGAGTCTCATCCTATGAAATAAACAATAGTTTCGACTATTTCTACACTCTAGCTATGTGACAACTGAAACAAATTTTATGGTGCTGGAGTTTTTATCTGGTGGAAAGGCCCCCTGCGTTATATGACCTATTTCTAGAAGTATAGAACCTTAAACATCTCCTTTATTCGTTCCCATTTGTTATCATTGCCAATCTATTATTGTTCTATACTTCTTTGTGTATAACTGTAAATAACATTACTAACGTAATTCCAAAGTGGGCATCTATGTAATCTTAATTGTTACCTTCATGCCCACAGTTCACTGTTAAATCATATCTTATTTTATCACTCATTAATTTATTACTCATTATGTTTTACAAACTATATCCTTATGTCCCTAGAAGGGTGTTCTGCTAACAGTTTTCGACTGACTTGAATGTCCTGCACAGCAGATTGAAGCTTCTTAAATTATTTTTTATTCTTATTGTATTGCTGTGTAAATTTGATTCTAATTCTAATTCTAATTCTAATTCTAACATCAAATTTTGGTCAAATGGGCATCGATTGGGTCATTTAAAATTTAGTCGTTATTTAAATAATCGTGAAGTTTTGGAAGTATTTAAGTAATAAATATAATGATGCTGATCAAACAGACTTAATAAAGCTAAATCTTAACCATCGAAGGGGTCATTTAAAATTTACTAAATTGTATTCACTAAATTTCACCGCTCGCAAGATAATCGTGAATATTAGTTTTGGAAGTATTTAAATAATAAATATTTTCATGCTGATTAAACTTATTTCAGGACGAGAGAGCTGCTGAGAGAAAGAGTCTCGCCCTCAAAATCTTCATCGTATTTATTTTGTTGGCAGTTGTTTCCAACACACTCGCCTACCTCTACCTCTCCTATCCGAGCATTTCAGACACAATTTCAGGATTATTCAAATCAGCTGCTCAGCCTGAAAGCTCACCAACTGAAGAATTATAGACTCACAGATCTGTACATATTACACTTAATATAGTCAATTTTATCACGGGAAGTCGCTATCCAGTTGAGAAGTGATCCACAATTGAGGGTTAGGCACGAAAACCAGACATAATTGGAGTTACGATTCAAGAGGAAGTGGTTTGTTAGTCGTGGACTTTCGTTCAGCTCAAAATGAACCCTAGTGAGCTCTATAAATAACTATACTGCCCTGATTTGAACTCACTGATGACATATCTGGACGATATAAATACTAAACTGAACGGACCTCCGTAGAGAACTAGGATCAAAGACATTGCAAATTGAAATAAATATCTGTTCTTTTTATTCAGTGCGGTCGTGACGATGATTTCATTTATATTATGTTGAAGCTAAATGTAGATAGGTTTAGTTCCTTAAGTATTAATTTAGTACAGTATTAATTTGTTCAGCACTATTGTAAGACCGTATTCTGTTAAATAAAGTTAAGTAACAATTAAAAGTAACTTAACGGATAGTACAGCACCAGTTGTTTTCATCAACATTTTTTGCGTCATTTTGTGCTCGAATTGGTAAAAACAAGTCATTTGTAAACCTTCAAAATATGTAGACTACTCAGTAGCGTGGAGTAGAAAACTAAACTTTAGGCTGGCAGGGTGCTCACAACTTATTAAATTTATGAGCATATTAATACTACTCAGCTTTAGCATCCTCACATTTTACAATTCTTTGGATGGACCTCTGTTTAACCACACAATGGGAATAGCACATAATTAATTACGCAGTACTCTAGAGTTAGGAACATATTTGGACTCACGTGAACAGCACTTGAACTGTCACGTGAACAGCACTTGAAATGTCACGTGAACAGCACTTGAACTGTCACGTGAACAGCACTTGAACTGTCACGTGAACAGCACTTGAACTGTCACGTGAACAGCACTTGAACTGTCACGTGAACAGCACCTGAACTGTCACGTGAACAGCACTTGAACTGTCACGTGAACAGCACTTGAACTGTCACGTGAACAGCACTCGAACTGTCACGTGAACAGCACTTGAACTGTCACGTGAACAGCACTCGAAATGTCACGTTGGTGTCCTGTGTAAATCCTTTATTAGACTTGTCACCTCCACTGCGAGCCCGAGACTATGTGCACCTGACAGCTCCTGATTTGACTAAATATTTCCAATTTCAGCGCGTCCATCTAATATGATGGACGCGCTGGTCGATATTATATCCATAATATGCCTTGCGAATTAACTTTCCGCTATTTGATTGGTGTTTAATTTGGCGGTGGTGGTAGATATACCTTGCTGCTGTATTATTACTCTGGCGGAGCACCGCTCTAGATTATTTGGGAACTAAATTTATTCCAAGTAAAATTATCAACTCAGCAGTTTGCATAGTGGTAAAATTATAGATTATACTAGAAACATATTAGTTAGCCACCTAGCGGTCCTAGCCCCTATATATTTAAACCATGTTATATTTATACCTGTTCGAAAGTAGTCGAGTAGATGGAATGTCAAATTAGTTTAACCTAAGTTTGGCGATAGGATGGAAATCTAGTTAAAGAGTTTATTAATGGTACTTATCTAACAAAAAACGTCTAAAATAGAACATAAATGTAACATCTGAAAATATTTCTCGCAACATATGCTAAATTATAATTAAGGTTAACAGATCTAAGAACTTTCATAAAAAAGATAAAGTAAATAGCATTCGATTCACCATCTCTATTAAAAAGACCAGGGACTTTGAAAGGGCGTGACTATGTTGCAATTTTTCAATTTCTACTAAATGTCTGTTAAGAGAAAGTCGTGCTGAATGAACGCTTAGTTACTTACTTACCTCCAGAGACCTAGCATTCGTCGGTTTTGATTACAAAATATGTTTGTGCTCCAGCTCTGTGTACCGCTAAAACTCCGTTTTAAAGTTATGTGGCTCTTTCTTATTAGAGTTATAGTCTAACCGCATTTTAGAAAGTAAACGCTAAATATTAGCTTTTGTTTACTCGATTGTTATTATGAGGCAACAATACAAGCTAATATACAAATATATGGCTGATTTTAATGCACGGTGGTCTTTAATAAAATCAGATATTGATTAGCTGTTACTACACTAATGGTATTAAATGACCGCTACACTAATGGTATTAAATGACCGCTACACTAATGGTAGGTATTAAATGACCGCTACACTAATGGTATTAAATGACCGCTACACTAATGGTATTAAATAACTGCATAAATGAGAGATACAGGTTTTATCCAGGTTACTTTGTCGCTGTGCTTACTCAGTAATCTCATAAAGACCACTCAGTAAGCAACTAGTCTTTGTAAGGACCCCATTACAAATGTATAAGTAAGAATTCTGATAAAGTTATCTTTTCTACAGTTGTGATGTGTAGCTTTTTAAATGCAATTATGCGTTCGCGTTGTATTTTCCCGACTTTTTGTCATATTAATTCTTAAGTATCAAAACGTAATTTTGGTTTCTGGACTAATTATGTGATATGGAGAGTTGATAATTTGACGATTTTCATTCTTACTTGGATTAATTTAAATCTATGAATTAATAACGCAAAGCCTGGCTTCTCTTCAAAAAAAAATACATGTCACATGTACCGCAATCGATTTTTAATTTGGATAACTCTCGAAAATAAATAAATTCCAAAAATGTGGTTTAAATCTAGACGTTCTTTAATCTTACTATATATAAAGCGAGACGATATATATGGATATATGGATCCGTGCCATTTTACTGACACCACGGCATCAATTTTAACGCGACTTTCCGCAAAAACTGTAAAAGATATACAACTGACACTTTTTTGACTGGTTCAAATGCTTTTATGCTTTTCAAATCAGCATGAAAAAATAAAAAATTGGCCATGAAATAAGAATTTTAGTGCCCAAAATTTGGATCCCCAAGTGGTGTCAAAAACGCGATTTAAATAGGTAATAATTATTTTAGTCTCTTGAGTCTTGACACCACTTTAGAGTTATACGGGTTCCTGCTAGTGTAATTAATGCATGTCATTAAAATATTATTGCCTGATATTAGACCTTACGTTATGAGATGATGGTTTTGTTAATTGTTTCTTTCTTGTAGTTTGTAGACATTACTGCTGCTTTTTAAGATATGTTAATTCTGTTAATGTCAATTATTGCATTAATTTAACTTATCATTGATACTCTGGAAGTGAGTTAATCACATGTTTGTTTTATTTGGTTATTTAAATGTTACTTTTACTAATGCTTCCCCTCTAAACGCAAGTACCTTATATTATCCCAACTGAAAATGATAATTATCTGGAAGTGGAATGTAGAACCGTCTCCTGCTCCATTAATCCTCTTCCACTTCCAGGGCAGTAACAAACATTTAACTGATTTACTGGGCGGCGCTAAGCCTGTCATTCCACCAAATCTCCATTCCATCCATATGATTATTAACATAAATATAATAGCCTGGGGTCCCCAGGTAATTAACGGATAATCTCTGCATTAAATCGGAGTGAGTGTCATGTCTGGAATATTACAATTGTCTGGCATAATTTATAATATAATGCTTATAATCATTAAAAAATGAAAAATAATGGCCGTTAATACTCAGATTATCAAGTGCTACGTCATATAACAGTATATACAGATATAGTAGTGAGTAGACAGTAAATACGTCAACGTTGGTGTTTTTTCAAAGGAAATACGTAAAAACCTGATTGGTTTATAAAATCAAATTATGCAGTTTAGAGGTTTGCCTATATAAATACAATTAATTGTAGCAGTACTATTTACAATAGTGATTTTCGTTTTTTAAACCTGGGCAAATTTTTGAAAAATTTTGTGTTTCAAATTGAAATATTATAATTTTGGTACCAAAAGTTGCGTCTGACTAAGCTTATTTTTTCCGTTCACACTCTTTTGTAAAAAGAAAATAGTGAAAGGTTACGAATGGACGTTTTTGCAGAAAAACTTGGATTTTGGAGAACGAGGTAGGTGGGTTCAAATATGTCATCAGTCCTTCCTTCCGTTAAGTTACCATGACAACGAATGCGAATCTTGACGGATGTTACTCGTCTAAATTTCTTCGAAGTATCGCGCGCCGCTTTCTTCTCGAAATGTTACGACGGCAAGTGCTACGAAGTAGCGCGCGCCGGGCCAGATCATTAACAATGGTCAAATGCGAATCTCTATTCGAATCTGTATGTTCATGAATATTATAGCTAGGTAAGCCTGTCTGCTGTCAGTAAGTATTACTAATACTATTAATTAGTCAAACTAAGGGGCGTTTCGTTTTCCCAATGAAGACCAATCAAGGTGTTACCATTTAACTAGAAGTAGATAAATATATTTAGTTAAATGGACAAGTTGAATAAATTGAATTGTCAGAATTTGATGTTGAGATGAATTTCTTTTTGAATTTAGTATCATTGTAATATCTAGCTATAGTTATAATTGTATGCGTCAAAATTTAATAAAGCTAATTCATAATTTATACTTATAAACTTATAGTTATAATATGGGGTATGTTCAATTGTTCACTGTTCAATCTCACTTGACCATTGTTAATGCAGTCTGGCCCGGCGCGCGCTACTTCGTAGCACTTGCCATCGGATCACCATATAATATTTCTAGGCAGTGGGCCATCGACCGTAAGACGCGCGCGCTGACCATTGAATGGTTTTTTAGCTCTTATTTCGGCCAGCACATTATTCCGGAAACAATCAAAAAGTTATAATACTTCCCATATAACAATTTTGTTGAAATTTGGTCAGCGTACGTAAACACTTATGTTCTACTGAACCTAAATTAGTTTGAGCAATTTCGATGGTCAGAATTTGAGTTATCAACGGATTTATACTAGGGGGTGCACCATAAAAATAAACTTGCTTGGATTTTAAAAATTTTTGTACCATTGTTTTCTAGAGACTGTGAGAATTTTCACAATACCAAATTTGTCATACCTTTTTAGAAAGATCAGTGAGTTTCGCCTAGGTGCCATATTTGATGGTGCGCGGCTTTTGGAGCAAAATTAGCTGTAAAAGTCGCGTAATTTGACCAAATTTGACCAAATTCGTTGATTTTTGTCGTATTATTTGGATATATCTTCAGTTCCTTGAATGAGATCATTCTGAAAATTGGCGGCGACCTTCCAATAGGGCTTTCACAACTGTCCAAAAAATTTGGTGGATATCGGAGTTGATATAGTGATCAAAATGGGGCAAAATACGCTGCTTTTAGCTGTAACATAAAGTCTGATGGTTGGATATGCTTTAAACTTTTCGGACACTTTTCTTGTAAGTCTATGAGTAAGCTTACCAATTTTTGTTGCAATCGGAGGTCGGGAAGAATACTTAATATCTATTTGTTTGAAGAAAATTGTGCTGGCCGAAATTAGCGCTAAAAAACCATCCTACAGTCGGCACGCGCGGCTCACTGTCGATGGCGCACTACCTATTTATACCTATTTTGTCATTTTTAGACCTCTTAATCAAGGCCAATCTCTCCCAACTAAATTAGGTTCGGTAGTTAAGTATAATTGGAAGGTTCCCACAAATTTTCAGCAT